AATAATCGATTATTGTTTTTCTGACGATTAATTGCACACGATACGATTATGCCCAACCCTAGCTCATAAAACATTAAAGCTAAGGACAAAAGCTAAAGCTAATGACTTGAAGCYTCTTCTACATAAAAACATTATATTAACAGGACATTTTGTGATATGTATGTGAATAGGGTAAACTGCAGGCAGCAATAGCGTGTTAGGTGTAAAATGACAATAAAAACATTATATTATTTGAGAGATGCAGATAAGTTATGCTGACAATTTGCTCATTAACGCTGCCATCCATACCTGCTTTCTTCAGGCCAAACTCTGTACAGTTTACAGTACATTCAACAAGAACAATCTCCCTCCCCTTTGTTTAAAAATAGCAAGAATTATTCTTCATAACAGCTGGGTAACCTTTTGATAAAATCAACTTGACACTTAAATCCACTGTTTGTTGTAATTGGTTGAAATTGAACATTTTCTGTTTTTACAGGCTTACTGCTATTTCGCAAATGTGAGTTATATTTAAGATCTAAGCTAATTTAATTATAGACAACGAATCGTGTTKCTCATTAACAGCAGACCAAGCTTTATCACTATATAGTAACCTTTTAATAKATTCTAATTTTTAGCATTCTAAAAACACTGAGGTCCAGCCACAGATTGATTCATGCATTTCATTAGAACAAGAAACCGTCTACYTCTACAAAACTAATTTTTAGGTGAAATGGGGCAAGTATTTATCCACGCAGAAAAATTAAGGATGCTTCTTCAATATAAKCACACTAATTTCATGGATCTCATTCCATTTGATTTTGTATGCTTAGCTGAATATGTTTGCTGCATGTATCAAGCAGGTCACCAGATGCACCAGCTTGGCAACGCTTCATGCTCGATTTAGACTTGAAATCTTAACCATCCAGCAACACAGTGTGTTTATACCAACGCCTCTGTGGGAGAGGAAAACCGTTTAAAAAAAAGGTACAGAGAATGTGACACAATGAAACCATGTGTGCATGTGAGTTTGTGAATTTGTGCGTGAATGACAGTATGAGACCTTTTGGTTTCCAACACCACCTCACATAGTGTGGAACGCTTGCTTGGAAATCAATTATGTAAATACTAAATTATGCAAACGGCACATGTGAATAATTCTATGTGTTTGGGGAAAAAAGATTTTGGAGTGGCTTTAT